TCGGCACCGGGGCCGGAGGCAGCCGGGGTCCCGGCCCCGCCGCCTCCCGGGTGGCACCGGAGAGAACCCAGGTTGACTCAATTAAGGCAAAATCCATCGGCTCCGGTGCAAATCGGTGGCAGTTCCCCTCTGGAGCCTTTCCGAAAGGGATTCAAACCTTGGCGTTGTTGCCGCTTCAAAAGTCACTGCGCTCTGCACGCGTTCAAAAATGGATCCCCGAGATGAAGCAGCTACGTGTCGTCGAGATGTTGGTCCGAACTGATGCCGCTCACTTGTTTACACCTTGAATGGATGAAGAGCGCTGCGCTGAGAGGCAAAAAAATGATGCGGTCAGGTTTTTTTGTGCTTTCTGAGATCTTGATCCAAAGTGAGAAAGAGCATCTTCAATTTTCCCACAGGAAGGGGAAAAGAAAACCCACCTGTGTTCCTACCTGCTCCTCAGAAGGGAAATATTCATCCCCTTTGCCAAGCCCGACAGGACCCAAGATGACCATGTGTCCTAGCACTGCAACTCACGGGAGCTCGAATGCCGCTTCAGCAAGAGAAATACCCTCCTGGGCTTAGTTGGAGCTCAGCAAAATGAGCACACACGGGAATACTCCCAGCCGGAATACGAAGGCGAGCCCCAGCCATCAAATGAGGTGCCAGGGTGGTCACACTGAGCGACCGAGGAGATGCGAGACAGCTCCTGCTCCTTTCCTTTGGGATGTGGCTGGATTGAGGGCTTTGGGCCTGATGTTAATAACTGACTTCAACAGGCGACCTTGCAAGAGCCATTGTGTTTCTGCCAGCACCACTTGCTACATCAGCTCGGACATTTAATAGCCAAATGAATGAGCGAACGGGTGTGAACCCTTCTGTGCCAGCCATCACGGCTGCCCGTACTGCGCACAATGTGCTAATCCTCCTGACCGAAATTGTTCCTCGGTGTTTTGGCACATAGGGCTGAGAGGCTTCTGCTGTTTGTGCCGGCTGGTAGAGCCGGCTGGCTCCCCCCCCGGGTCCCCCGATGTTGACCTGAACCGTCCCTGCTCAGGAGACTGAGAGGGGATGAGTGTGGTCCTGCCGGCTGCTGTCTTTGGAGACTTGGTGGTCACATCACGGGAGCATCTTAGGACAGAGGCAGAAAGATAAGCACGCACCAGCACTACGGCACAGAGCCCCGAGCTCAGTTCTTGATCTCGGTACTAACTCTGGTGCAGTCTTACCCCTCCGGCACAGGTACATCTGCCATGCAGACAGCTCAGCGAGCTCAGAGCCTCTCTCAGCGGCATGAATTCGCCCGCAAATCTGCTACAGGGCATCACGGAGCCCTGCCGTGGCATGGCCGTGCAAGCAGACTGGTGGAGCACAGCCCGGCTCTAACCCGCAAAAAGGCCAAAAAGCAGAAGCAACTGAGTTATTCTTTTATTTCATTGCTTCTTAGTCCACACAGTTGGTATAAAATCAGAAAAGCAAAGCCAAAAAAAATAAAACAAAACAAAAAAAACCAACCCCCCCAAAAAAGAACCCCAAAATGAAACAAAAAACAACAACAGCAACACGGGGTCTGGAGTCCTCAGAGGGCAGCCTGGGGTCTGCGCAGGTGCCCGTTCAATTCATGGCCAGACACACCGCTGACGCACAGACAGAGGACAGATCTCTCGCTCCGGCACCAAAAACCATCAGGGCTCCACCCAGAGCGGTTTCTGTTCCTCTTGACCACGGCAGGGCGGGGGGAAAAGGAACCTCGGTTATAAATGCTTTATTAAAAATAATAGTAAGAGCAAGTCTAAGTACAAAAGCAGTTATAGCTCATTTATATTACACAGAATTATTTTTTCATTTCTAGCTTTGTTGTTTACCTCACGATTGTTAACTGAATTTCCAGTGAAGAAGGTTAAATGGCTAGCAATACAAGGAATGGTAAATAGATAGCACCATTTCATATATCTGGTATTTGATTTCATAGATATACTGGGTTTGCTTCTTTCTCATCGGTAGTGTAGCTCCACGGCAAGGATAAAGCACGTTTCACGGTTGGGAGCATCAGTGCCTCGACGGCTCGGCTCGGCACAGCTCAGCACCCACCCCAGCCCCACCGGCACGGGTGCCAGGGGCACCCCCAGAGCCCACCCGGGCGAAGGAGGACAGCCCATGCTGGATTGCAATTCAACCTAAGTGATTTAAAAGCCCAAATTCCCAGCGGGTGTGGTGGCAAGGCAGTGGGACTTAGGCACATAAGTCATTTAGGCACTTGGGGCAATCAAAGCCTTTGCTCCGAAATCCTTCAAACCTTTCGGAAGCGTGTCCCGTCAGATCTGGACGTGCACTTCGGTTACCAGGATCACAGCATGTGGCAGGAGCGGGGATCAACCTAAGTGATTTAAAAGCCCAAATTCCCAGCGGGTGTGGTGGCAAGGCAGTGGGACTTAGGCACATAAGTCATTTAGGCACTTGGGGCAATCAAAGCCTTTGCTCCGAAATCCTTCAAACCTTTCGGAAGCGTGTCCCGTCAGATCTGGACGTGCACTTCGGTTACCAGGATCACAGCATGTGGCAGGAGCGGGGATCAACCCTCCAGCTGGTGTAAACAGGCATAACTCTGATTTACGCCAGCCTAAAACCAGTCAGAGTTGGGGTTTTCTGGTGGTTCGATATGGGCTGGGATGGGGAAGGAGAGTTCAGGTCAAAGAGGATTTTGCATGAGAGAAAAATCACTGCGCTCTTGTTACACTGTTAGGAGTAATAGTTCCTTAGGCACTTGCTTTAGGCTTTAAAACATAGCGTATGGTCAACAAAAGCAAACAATACTATGTACATATATGTAAAAAGTGTTATAAATAGGTTTTTTAAACCATAGATACTATATACATCTTCAATTAACAAGTAACCCTTTGAGTGTTTCCTTTTGGGGTCGGTTGGGTTTGGGTTTGGTTTTGGTGGGAGGGTTTATTCCTTTTCTTTTTTCTTTTCTTTTTTTTTTTTTGGTTAATTTTCTTTTCCGTTTTCTCGTCTATTTTCCCCCGCCTCCGTCTCCTCCGTGGCCGTCATGAGTGCCCTTGTCACGCCACGCCACCTCCTGCAGCATCACTCGCGCTTCCGTAGGATGACATAGACGATGCCACTGGCGAGGGCCAGGGGGAAGGCCAGCCACGCCAGGATATAGGCAAAGCCGTAGGAGGTGTTTTCCGAGGCTTGGTGCCAGTCCGTGTGCCTCACTGTGAAGATGGCCGCGCCGCTCATCACGCAGAGCCCTGCCAGGGAAGCACACATAGGAAGGGATTAGCGATGCCATGCACGGAGCTGCAAACCCCGAGCCAGAGAGGATAATACCCAACGCTAGCATGGGAAACTGTTTTTATTATTGGCCCCTTGTATCATGTTTCCTGGAAAATGACAGTATGATTTGGGGCGGTGTGATGCTGTGGGCTCGGCCCTGGCTGCAGGTGAGTGGGGATAGCTCTGCCAGGCTCAGCAAATCAAGCAGGCGCAGGCAAAGCCGGAGGCCCTGGAGCAAGTAAAGCCAGAGCATCACCTGGGCTAACCCATCCCTCAGACAAGCATCAGGCATCCCCCAGCTCCAGGCTGCTGCTCCAGACCAGCCCCGCTCCCCTGGGTGGCTTGTTTCAAACCCAGCCTGAACCACCCTACCAGAGGTGCTGCAAAAGGTCAGACACAAACCCTGATTTATTTTTTTTTTAAAGCATGGAAGTTTCTTTACCACCTGCCCAGGCAAACACAGCTGGGGCCCAAGAACGCTCTGGCCAGGCAGGGTCTGTGCCCTTCGATCCCTTGTCCACCTCCGGTGCTGTGCCAGGAGCTCAACTGCAAACCCCTCTCCCCGCAAGCCCCGTTGTCCCCATGGCTTGTCCCTCTTCCCTGGCTCCAGCCAGGGGCCAGCGCAGGTCCCTGAGGGCTGTCCGGCCAGGCCCAGCTCCGGTAGGCAGCGTTTAAGCTTTGTTGCAAAAACAACCCATCAGCATTGGGGACTGCTCAGAGCTAACACAAAGCCACCTCTATTTCTGCCCAAAAACAAGCTCTTTCAGTCAATCCCAGCAGTTCTATTATACAGTCGTGGGGCTGTTGTCGGAGCCGAGTTCCAAATCCCCTGCACGGACTTCGGGACCACCTACATTTAACCACCGTGATATTTGAGCTGTAATTCCACTTGACACTGCTCCTTTGTTCTGGGAAAGTGCAGAAGTGGGAATAGGTTTCATTAACGCGCCGCTGGTGCAGTTTCCATTCTCTAAGCCCAAGAGCCAACTCCCACTGCCCCAGCCCATGCAAAGAGAGGACAACAATCGTCTGCCGATGCTGGTGGGACAGAGAACAGGCGTGCGGCCACGCCGCTCACCTACAGACAGCAGAAAATACAGCAGCGATTGTCCGTATGAGGAATTTGGCAAAATGGAGGTGATGGTTATGACTGCACTTCTGCAGTATCCGCACTGGTTTTGGCCCGGAGAACACGCTTGGGCAGTGAAGGACAGCTGCTTGCACCGATGCAAGCGATAATCCATCACCACTTCGGAGCCTGGTTTGAAGAACACACTTTAGTCTTGCTTTGACAGGCTGGGAGAGCAAATACTACCTAAAATCTGTTCCTGCAGGTTTGTGCATGATGCCCCAGCCCTGCAGATGAACCAGGCTGGGTGCTGGTGCACGCTCAGGTCAGGTCTCCAACACAGGTTTTTGCAAAAAGCTGTCGGATATGTGGGAGGCACGGCCCTCACGGCTGAGCCTACCCTCTCCACCCCATGGGGACAGCAGCTCTAGGGTGGGAGGGGTGGGAGAAAAGGGATAAAATGCTGAGACTGGAGAGAGTGATGGAGAAGTTGGGTCAAACCCTGAGAGGCCCAAACCAACCACTCTCCCATGCTGGGCTTACACAGTTATGAGAAGGTACCCGTGGATGTGATGGACTCACCAAGGATGGAAGGGAGCTGTCGAGGGTCTTTTGATGCCTTTGTGATGGCTGAAATCCCATCAGGGCAAATTCAGCTAGACTTCAGGGCAAGTGCTGGGGACGGATCCTGCCCTGCTGCTGTACAACAGGCCCCATTGACCTCATGCATCTCTTCTTGCCCTTACCTCTGCTCCTCAGTGCCCCTGAGCCACAGCCGAAGTGGGGAGCAGCCCCTACCCTCCTCCCTGGCTCTCAGGGCACGGCTGCCCGGCTCTGCAACCCAACAGCACCCAGTGGTCCTGCCCCTGGCGTCCCCTGGTTCAGGTCCAGCATTGCTGTTGGCCAGGCTCCAAAACTGGAGACCCTCAGCTTTGCCAAGCTGCATCACCCCAGGCGGAGGTGCGGCATGATGGAGGGGGGCTTCAGGAAGAGCCTTCTCATCCCCTCGTACCCCAGAAGGAGGGAGGTCCTCTCCAGCTCTGCTGGGGCTGAGAACAAAGCACTGAAGTGGGTAAGACCTGCATCCCTGGCAGACCTGCAGGAGGGCTTTGGGGTGCCAGGGCTTTGCAAGCCATGGATGAACACCTGCAAAGCCTGAAGGCCACAGGGATTTCCTCCATTGGCTTTAGACAGTGGTGGCCTTCCACAGCAAGCTGCAAGGAGACCACATCAGGTTCAGCTCCTTTGACCAGAACCGTCTGTACCTCCAGGTGGGATCTCCTGGCAGCTCTGGCACAGCCATGTCCTGTTTCCTACCAACAACCCTGAAGTTTAGGGTCACAAAGACCACAGCTGCCCTGAGCCCTCTCCTCCAGCCCTGGCCGAGGAGAACAGTAAGGATGGCCACCAGTGCCCACCTCTGCATGGTCCACCCAGACCCAGACCTCTGCCTATGCATCCCCCAGGCCATGGGGAAGCTTCATGGGGATCAGGTCACACTTTTCCTGTCCTTCATACTGTCTGGGAAGGGACAGTAGGTCTTATGGCCTGGCCCTGCATCCTCTTAGGACACCCGGCACAGCATGGACAAGAGGGTGGCAATCCCATTTTCTTTTCCTCTGAGAATGAGGATTCACCAGCAATCACTCAGGAGAGAAAAGCCTTCTGCTCCCAGGTCTATTAGACAAGCTCTCAGGCAGATAATTGCATTATTGATGCCCATTTCCCCTCCTTGTCTCCATGGCTGTAATGGGCTTCTACACTTCCATCTTTCCAGAGACGGTGAACTGATCTGAACTCATCACCTGCATTATGGCCAAGCAGATACACTTATAATAGATTTCATGCCATGCTTGCAAATAAAAGCTAGCTCTAAAGTTTTCCAGGGTTTGTGAAGGCCAGTAGCTTACAGGATGCTCGGAAACTTGTCTAAATTCAGTGGATGAGTTTTTCCACTGATTTAGTGGCAGGACCTAGGGTGGTTTTTAGTTTAACACCTAAAGCTCTAGCAAATGATTAGTCTCCTTCCCAGACAATCTGTCATAATTTAGTCAGAACCTTGTTGCACAATTTAATTTTTCTAGTCTCAACACTTGAAAATCCTCCCCGCTGGTTTCACGTGTGGAAACGTAAACGGAGCCAGTGGCTTTACAGCATCTATATTTGGAGAACTGCAACGTAGGACGTGAACCGTGGCTCATTTCCAGTGCTGAGTTCTTTAAGAGTTAAAAATAGTCGCTGACAGTTCAAAGTCAGCTGGCTCACCCTGCACGCTCCAGTGGCTCCTTGCTGATGTGGAAAGCACCAAGCCCCCTGATGGCAACTTTATAAATAATCCTCTCTCGTCAAAAGAGGATCATCACTACTTCCCCCACCCCACCAGCAGTTGAGGAAACCTCGCCCAGCCCACCGAAGGTGGGTCCCAGAGCCAGCACAGCCACCCTGGACCCTCAGCACCCCACCCTACGCCATGGGAAGAGAAGGCAGAGCCCTCCGTCAGGCAGCCCCCGTGCCCTGCCTGCCCTGGCACAGCTCTGCCTCCGACCGGTCCGGCACCCTGCCCCTCCGAAACCTCCCCGGCCGGGACAGCGACCCTCTTGCACCTTCCATGATTTAGCCTGAAGAAGAGGAGGCTGAGGGGAGACCTGATCGCCCTCTACAACGACCTGAAAGGAGGGGGTAGCGAGGTGGGAGTTGGTCTCTTCTCCCCAGTAATTAGTGATGGGACAAGAGGAAACGGTCTCAAGTTGTGTCAGGGGAGGTTCAGGCTGGGCATTAGGAAGAACTTCTCCACTGTTAGAGTTGTTAAGCATTGGAACGGGCTCCCCAGGGATGTGGTGGAGTCACCATCCCTGGAGGTGTTCAAAAAACGTTTAGATGTGGCGCTTCGAGACATGGTTTAGTGGGCGTGATGGCATTGGGGAGAAGGTTGGACTTGATGATCTTTGAGGTCTCTTCCAACCATAATGATTCTATGATTCTATGATGCAAGGGCAGAAAACCTTGGATACATAACGCCCTGACAGACGGATCCCATCCCGGGGCGTGCGAGACCTCAACAGAAGACTCAAATTATTCATCCCCTCTTCCCTTCACTGAACCATGCCGGACCCAGCTTGGTGGCCCTCCTGCTTCTGTACCCAAGGGTGTGCTCAGTTCCACCGTTACCCTCTCCTCTGCTTGAAAGCCCTTGCCCCACCAGTGACAGCCCCATCAATCAGTCCCCACTTACCAGCAAGGATTTGGAAGATTCCAGTGATGTAAAACCGCCCGCCCTTGGTGAGCGTGAAGAGCTGGCAAAAGAACAGGAACAGGGACAAGACGCTGAAGATGATGGAGAGGATCATCATCGCTTGGACAGACTGCAGCCATTCTGGGGAAAGACAGACAGACGGAAACCTCAGGGCAGGAACCAGAGATAGCGAGTCCCCACCGCAGCCCACGGCCTCAGCATCATCCCCCGTGCCACCATCCCACCCCTGGCTCACATCAAGTTTCCCCACAGCGGGGGGATGTGGCCACATCCAGCGCTGCACCAGTTGGCGAGGTCCTCAGCACGGGCACGATGCTGCCTGGGATTTACAACGGCGTGTGCATGGACCAGCGTGCTGGCATAAAATGAATGGCAGGGCCACACACTTTCTCAGGGAGCATTTATAATAAAATATGAGCAGAGATATTAGCCCCGATCTGAAGCCTGCAGAAATCAAGACAAAACCTCTCCCTCAGCCTCATGTCAGGCCCTGGGAGTTCAGCTGTACTGGAAACACAAAGGCCATGTGCAACAAGCCGTGAGACACCGAGTTGGCCAAGCTCAGAGGTAAAATAAATATATAGTGAGTGAAAACACCCTCTGCCCTTGTGGAGTCAAACCTTTTGGAAAGAGCCTTCCCCAGCTGCCAAACACAGCTGCCTCCCAGAGCAGACCAGTTAAACCAGCCCCTGCATGAGTCACTGCCCAGCTATTTCCAGGCTTCATGGGTGTGCAACTGCCCACGTAAAAAAAAAATATATATATAAATAAACAAGCAAAATGCAGCTCCATCCCATGAGCTGCTGCAGCTTGACAGCAAGAGGCAGTGCCTCGCAGCACTGAGATGGGGCCGTGCTCACAAATATTTCTGCCTTTCCCTTTCCTTATAAAGTTGGCGATCAAAATGAGTATTTGCAGCCCTCCTTGAGAGGTCTTTAAGGATGCAACATCGATTAATTCACCACAAAAGCCAGGCAGGACTCAGTACAGGTAAACTGAGGCACAAACCACCTAGTGAAAGGCAGAAAAATCATGTTTTGAGTTGGATCCTCAAACGCGGGAGAATTAAGCAGCACTGAAGTCTCAGTCCCGTGTTCCTGCCAAAGTTTTACTCCCACCAGCTTCGCTGGAGAGCGAGGTACAGCCTTAAACCGGGATGGCAATGATGAGCCATGCCTGAGCCCTTCCAGCAAATCCACGCCTGCGGGGAACATCCTGTACAATTTAGTTATGTCTGGCACGTTTGACTTTGGACCAGCGATTCTACCTCTCGTCTTTGCATCTTGCCTCCGGACATTCATGCAAGGGAGCAAATTCAGGGGCTGGGCTCAGCGCAGCAGACTGAAACCACCCGGAGTAGACTCTGCTCATTGCAGACAGCTTTTTTCTTCCCCTCCTTTTCACGTTTCCCGTACCAAACTCCTCTGCAGCGTTAACGGGCCCTGCTAAAGAGCTGCTGCGCTTCACCCGTTTCGGTGCCGCCGGGTTTGCATCCCTGTGCACCAGTTGCTGCCTTTCCCTAGGAAGGAGCAGCTGCCACTGCTGTCACTTCCAGGAAATCCCAGCGTGGTTTTCACACTGATGTGCACACAAAATGTCCCATATATTTCATCTGTCTCAGCCAGCCAGGCAGGGAAACCCCCCTGCCTCCATCACACCTGACCCTTCAGCTCTGGCCATGCTCAACCAGAGGTTAACAGAAAGGATGAGGCAGCTCAAGCACTGCTAAAAATCAAGTCATAAATCATGGTTCTGATGGGGTCAGAGAAGTTCGAGGATGCCCAGCTGCTGAATTGCAATCTCCTTCCATGCTTCAGCACAGAAAAGGCTCCCATCCCCGGTCTGAGAAGCTGAGCTTTCCTCTCACCCCTTCCCAAGCCCTAAAGCCGTGTCCAGCTCCGTGCACTGGCTGAGCCAAAGCCTGCCCGGCCCCAAGCCCTGCAGTTTGGTCCAGGACCCAGGAAGCCATCAAATCTTTTGTGATTTCAAAGGCCACGGGATCCGGCCCGGAGAGGAGCCCTTTCTGCTCGGAGGTGGATGCTCCAACTGCCAGTTATTTTAGGAGAAGGCTGTCTAGACGGAAAGCTGAGCTGCCCTTTTAATTGCATCCGCCTCCCCGTGCCTCTTTTTTGGTTCTGAATGCAAATGATTTATACAGGCTTTGCAAAATCCCGTTGTCATAAAGAGCCGTGTCAGAGGAATATAAAGGCAGGCAGTGAGCAAGAGAGGAAAGGCGGCAGTGACCGGAGGGGTTTCGGCAGCCAGCCCTGCCCCGCCGCAGCCAGAGAGCAGCGGTCACATGAGTTTGTGAGCAGGGAAAAAAATGTCAAGAGATGAGCCCACAGAGCAGAGCTCTGGGCCTGCTCACATCCAGCTTTTGCTGACTTTTATTGGCCTCCTTTGTAAAAATGAGGGGCAGGATCCCCTGCTCAGGACTCGGAGACCCACAAGTGCAAGCTGCTACATTCCCGTTAAGTCCAAGCCCAGCTGCACCAGGATAGCTAATGGCTTTGAATTCATTGGAAAACACCACCCTAACTGCAGACAGGATTGCTACCTCCTCAACCCCATGTGCTCTTAATTCCTTTGCTATTAGTGCTCTGTCCCACCTATAGGCTTTCAAAAATAAAGGGAGTTTCCCACAGGGAGGTCTGGGCCCCGTAGTCGCACCGTGGGGCTGGCAGCACTGTTTACTCCCAGGCGGTTCTTTGTGGTTTCCCCTGGGCAGTGAGTTGGTTATTCCGTTTTTCTCCTGCATCTCTTCAGCTCCACATTTATATCTTTGTTCTTCAGGAGGAGGAAGAAAAGGAAACACGAGTGGAAAGGATAGATAACACCCTGCACGCTGCTTCCGGAGAGGACCCATCAGGAGCATTTTTAGAGCCCTTTCAGGCCGTCAAAAACAAAGTTAAGAAGCTTTTACAAAACAAATTTGAGAATTTCCCTAAGCTCTGCAAGCCCTGATGTGCTCACCCCACCACTTACAACAGCACGGGAAAAGACTTCACCCCAGGATGCTGAAGACCACATTTCACTGCCCTAAAGTCTAACGTAAAAGAAAGAAACCCAGAGCAGAAATTGCAGCTGAACGCCCCCAGAAAGACAGTAGCTAACCCAAGCGCTTCCAGCAAAGCCCCAGCCCTGCTTGCCGGGAGGTTTGATACCCAGAGGAGGGGTACAGCCGAGCAGGACTGATGGGGCAGGCAGAAACATGCCCTTGGCCAGGAGCAGGAGGCCTTCAGGCATTGGCTTCCCAAGGTTTAATTCACTGCTCTCTCATAAATACCCTATCCTCTTTTAACCCAGCCAAGGAATAAAGTGCAAAAGAAACTTATTGGAGCAATTACCTTATACACTGGCTGTAAGACATCACTACATTAGCGCTACGCATTAAAAATACCTGTGTGCTGTGACCTGCAGCTGACGTTTTGCACGTATAGCTTTCCCTTTGCAAACCGCGTGTGCGCTGTACGCTTAAAAAGCATCCACTTCTCGGGAAGAAAACATCCACTAAGGAGGTAACCGTAGCATGTAATATATACAAAACTAGAGGGAGGGGAAATTCATGACCACATCTGCATGGTAAAACCTGCTCCTTCAACGCTGCATACTAAATATCAGCAGGGTCAGGAACAGCACATGCATCTACCGACACAAAGGTACCAGCCCAGGTCTGCCAGGAAAAGCCACGTTTTTTGAGCAGAGTTTTTCCAAAGCAGACTCTGGGGCTTCAAGGTCTGATCAAGAACCTGAACCCACCTCGCATCCTCGCTTATGAAGCGGATAGGTCACACCACAAGTGCTGGGGCTTGCAATGGTTTTCAACCTTGCTATTCAAACCCCTCTTATGAAGGTTGGAAAAGGGTGGACTGAAGATACAGAAATATTAGCTCAGTTGCATCGTTCTTCTGGGGCTGAACTTCAGACCGCTGCCCCTTGGCAACTCACTTTAGCAATTCAGAAAGTCAAAAAAGCTCAGCTACCTGCAGTGCTATTCCTGATCCCCCCCGCTGCCGCCACCCACAGCCCCATCACCCAAAGCGAACGTCTCTTCTGTTGGGGAGAACAGCATCACAGTTCATCGGTCACATCCCGCAGAGCTGGTAAGCTCTCCTAGGGAAAATCCAGCTCCGTGACATTGCAACTTTCTTCTGCTTTGGTTCCAGACCTCCCACCGGCACAAAGTCAAACCTTCCCTGACTGTGTTCTGGGCTGCTGGATGCTCGAGGTGGGAAAAGCAGGTTTTGCAGCCAACAGTTGCTCCTTTCCTATCCTCCTACGTCCACTCTGTGGAGAGGACCGCAGCGTTGCTGGATCGAGGTATTCCTGGAAATCCCACCAGAAAAGAGGGATTTTAAAGAGCTCGCAAGGTGTTTGTAAGGGCCAAGGGAAACAGCAGGTGGGAAACACCAGGGCTACGGGGTGGCAGTGAATGAACACGGTGCTGCAATTCCTGCTCAAGACTTCCTGGTCCTCTTCTGTAGCTCCTTCAAAGGAGATGAAATGCCCAAAGTCCTCTTTTCTCCTCTTGTCCTCTTTTCCTCTCAGCTGCCCTCCCTTTTGCCTTCTCCTTAAAGTTCCATCCAAGAAGTCCCTGAGGCCAGGAGGTCCATAGCTCTCCAGAGCTGCCACATTCAGACGTCCCATCAGACCATCAAAGCTCACGTCCCTCAGAGGCAACCTCTGATGCTGCTGAGGCAGCAGAAAGCTGCCAGCACCATGAAAAACACCTTCCAACATCTCCACAATGCCCAAGCCAGCTCCTCTCCAAGACCCTCAGCGTGATGGCTCCGACCTCCTTTTGGCTTGCGTGTGAGAGCGAGCTGAGGTGGTAGATACATCATTTCAGGCTCAGGTCCTCCAAAGGGCTTAGGTACCATCTCCCACTGATTTCAAGCCCAGGCAGCAGGAGCAGGGATGGGGAGTGGTGGTACCCTGACCCGCAGGCACGTTGCAGGGGCACACCCATCCTGTGGTCGCAGGGACATTCAAGAGTCTCATCAAGGCCAAAAAAATGTTGGTTTAAGGGTTTTCCAGCACTGTACCCTGCAATGGACTCCCCCACCCATTCTTCTGGCTTTGCAGTCAGTGTTTGCCCACGTGTTGCCTTTTTAGTCCCC